AATCTGTGCTGCAGTCATGATTGATAAGTCTTGCATTGCAACTCAACGGTGTTATTGATTGGAGGACGAACCGTTGAGCCTTCATTTGTCCTGCTTCCGCGTTGGAAAGCTGCCTCACGGGCAAAGCTATGTCATCACTTAACACAACTTTGGACTGAAGTTAATATAAATTCAACTTGATCAGATTTGACTAATATATCTATTGATTAATGATCTCATAGATTATTGTACTGAAAACCTGTGAGGGTCACTTGTTATGTATGGTCAATATTACATTTAAAACTGCAACCATCTGAGTGAAAAGCTTTCTCTCTGAGATAAGTAATGCATGCTGACATGTATTATCAGAATCAGAATGAGGTACATTTACACATACAAGGAATTTGCTTTGGTGTAAGGGGGTTGCTAACATATAAAACATGAGAAAATCAGTTGAACAAAAACGTAAACAAATATATATGAGAGTTTATATGCCCACAGAGTTTGAAGGCAGATGTTCACTAGTTCTCCCTGAAGAGAGAGTCCTTCCTGGGATGAAACAGATCTCTGCGTAAAAAGCTGTATTCAGAGAGTTAAAGTGAGCATCATTTTGTTAGGTAACTGATTACATCGGTTGACTTGCTCTGGACTTTATAAGCTTGCCTAGACTTCATCTTAATTGTTAAGTAGTCAGTGCTTGTGCGCATTGGCACTTAACCCAGAGATAATTTGTCAATTAAACAGCGAGCATTTACTTGGCTGTTATATATTCTGACATTTATAATTGGAATGTAGTTGTTTTTTCTTACTTTGTTGAGGTACTGATACTGCAAGGCTTATTACCCAGTATATTCTTATTTCCTTTTAAATTAGAAAAAGTAATTCTGTGTTTTGGATTTAAATAACTTTACCGGTAGCAATTTCATGAATAAAGAGAAAGCTCGTTACGCCATACAATATTGTGATCAGTTTGTCCTCTGGATGCAAGCTTCCCTTATGAATATAAATCAACTTTAAAATTGTGCACACATGAACAAGCATTTATTCCCACCCTGTTAACTCCCACAATTAGCCATAAGTGGGTAATGAAATGCCTTTCATGAATATTGATATGCTTGTAAATGTCTTTTGTCCTTCCAGCTTTTTTGTATTTCTGCTGCTGGAAAGGATTAAAAATAGAAATATTGTGCCACCGAGGTACATGCTGCCAGGTCGAGGCAAGGTTAAAGGTATTATTGACTTACCTTCGTTCAGGTTTTGTGACAACAGCGACGGTCAGTGTTCAGAGAACAAACAGCCTTCAGAAAAACTGAAATAGAAAAAGTTGATAACAATGTGTCAGTGACAGTGGCGGGGGTGATTGGACCCCAGAGCTCTCTCCCCTTGACAGACCTTGATAAAAAGAAACTAATTAAATGCAATGTGACAGAAGAACATGGCGACTGCAGGCAGGCTCAGCAGATGTGGACAGTGGAGATAAACCTCTAATTGATTGACGCTTGCATTCTATTTCCTTCCACTAACCACATTTTTTATACAGCAGACTTGTTATTCTTTCAATTAGGAATAGCAGCGGAGAAGGGTTCAACCCAGGTGACAAACTACATGTAAGCTGTGGAGAACTGTGACAAAAGCTTGAATCGTGCAATTAGCCGCCAGCCAAATGTTAATCACAGCCTCCCCCTCCCCGATTAGCACTGTACCGCTTTTAGTGCAATGTATGCTTGTCCTTGACTGTTCCTGATGAAGGCAACATTCAAACTACTTGAAAACATTTTTAATGGCTGCAATTAGTCAGCCCTTTCTCTCTCAATGGCACAACACAAACCATGTCACACAAATGTCATTTGAGAGATGCAAAAACGTATACAACTCACGGTTCATTATTTCAAGGCCCTTATAGGTACATTTTGGGTAAATAGCAGTTCAGGGCATCTGAAATATACTGTATTAGGGATCTGGATGAAGTTTCCAGTGAGCACATATAACAACTGAGCGATGTTAGCTCTCAACAGCTCAGGTTCTAGACAGTTCATTTCCTTCACATGGCCAAATCATTTGGCTCAAATAAATCCATCTGAATACCACAGTCAGCCAAAATCCTCACCCTCGTCCAAAACGGCAAATTCACAATCAGTGCGAAAAATTAAATGTACTTCCTACACAAGATATACAAAATATACTCTCTGTAACATGGGTCATAATGTCAAAGAAGTCAGAGGACTCCGTGAACGGTTGACTCTTTCACCCCACTTCCCCGCAAACATTTAAAAAATCCCAATTTTTGTTTGGCCGCTCTTCACCACATCATGAAACCAGTTGCGGCTGAAGCATCCACTGCTTCCTTCAAAAGACATTGCGGGGAAACTTGTCACAGTCCTCACTTTGCCACTCTCCGGTGGGAATTATGCAGAACATCCTCATCACCAATCATATTCTGAAAAACATGTCCATCATACTATAGGAGTGAATTCTGAAACACTCTTAGATGCTGATAAACCTAAACTCTATACGCCTCATTAACAACCCTTTGCTATTATAAATCTAAAACATTGTGGGCATTTGTTCCCACTGCCTTAAATGTCAATTCAGGGTTCATGTTGTTACTAAGGAAGCATTAACTAAAGAGTCCAAGGTTTTTATCTAGAACTCAGTTATTTATTTTAAATTGGGCTAGGGTTGGGGTTGGCAACTATTGGTAAATATGTGGCTTATAATTCTACTAAACCCTTATAAGCATATCTACCCTCTTTCCATAAGTAAACCTCTCTCATCTTACTGCTTTTCTCTCTCTTTTTTGTTGGTCCTCTCCGTTAGAGACAGCTGCTGAGTTGCATTCGTGGGGGGAACTGCCCTGGACCCAACGTCAGCTCGCTGCAGTTGCCTGGAGATGTGAATTTCTTCGCCAACCAACTGGCGGTGCCCACAGTGGAGTTTGCCTTCCAACAGACCAAAGCAGAAGAGGTACTCATGCCAACAAACCACTTGTTTCCCTTCACTTCCAATGCTCTTATTTTGCAAACCGATGGCCTTTTAGACAAACCCTGTCACTTGAGTGTTATTCTAATGGGTATGTTCAGTAAGGTAAGATTCAAGCCAATTAGCAACAGTACAAGGAATGCCAACAAGACTGTGGAGTCTACTTAAACAACTTGTCTACACTACGGTATCAAAAGCAGTGCTTAAATCAGCTAGTACTTAAACTAAGAGCTTGCTATTTTCTGCATTGAATCTGAGGTCATTCACAATCTTTACTTATGCTTTATTGGGTGCTATGATTAGCATGGAATCCATATGGTTTACTTGAACAAACTTGTGGGAGTTGATCAGATCCTATAACTGATTCTCTAAAACCTCACTCAATGGCACATCGGAAACTAGTCAGTAGTTGTTACAATTTGAAGCATCTTAGTTGTTTTGCTTCAGAATGGGAGTTAAGCAATTTTTTAGGAAATTAGAAAGATATCTATCTCTAGTGGTTTACTATGTTAAGAATACATTCAATAAACAAGTTCAAATCAGTTAAAAAAAGGAATGGCATCTTAAAAGCCGGTTGTGGTTTTTATTTGTGAAATAACATTGCCAGGCATCTCAACATTAACCAGGATTGTTTAGGATTTCATGACATACAAATAATGACTGAGCTTCATTACTTGAGTTATGCTAATGGATTTGATCACTGCAGTGCAGGGAATCCACTCTAATTCATGCAAGACACAGTCACACCGTGTTTCCCAGCTGTGAACGGATTTATTTGGAACTGCTGTTAGCCATGGGCCACAACTTGTTTATCTTTAGCTCTTAATTGGAAGTCAAGTCTTTCCTGGGAAGATGCACGCGCCAGTAGTCAGTGTGTATACAAAGCTGAAGGAAAGTGTCATCGGTAAGTACACCTACACTTGTCACCGCAGCAATTTGTCCAGTTCTCACATATTGGGGAGTGGATGTGATGATAAGCATCTGCTGCCTATAAGACTCACGGCCCGTCCACACACAGGCATGAAACATTTTTTTCAAAGCTTCGCCCATTCACTTGAATGGGGTGACGTAGAAGATTTTTAATCTTCGCCGAACTGCATTGTGGGGAGCGGAGAATGGCTTTGCAAGCATCGTGAGCATCAAAAGTTGAGCAATGTTCAACTTTTGATGCTCCCAATGCTTGCGAAACTGGCATCAGCCAATCAAATCCCGTTTATGCAAATCCCGCCAGTGCAAGCGCTAGCCAATCAAACCGCGTGTACTGTATGCAGATACCGCTGCGGTCTTTTCCATATGTCATAAAATGGAGGATAAATTAATCATCGCTGTAGGAAATGTTCCGGTCCTTTACAACTGCTCTCTGTTCACCTACCGGGACCTAAACCGGAGGAACCAGGCATGGAGGGAGATGGCAGAGACAGTTGGTGAAACTGGTAGGTTTTCACCTGTTTGGGGAGTTTATATCCAGTTTACTTTGTTTTAACATTGAATGGACAGGCTTCGTATGCCGGGGGCGGGCGGGAGATTCCTGGGAGATTCCTGATTGGTTGTTGGTCGCCTTGGGCACGTGAAATCGCCAAGCTTCAGACACGCCCAGCATCAAGATTTTTCAAGATTTTTTTCATGCCTGTGTGTGGACGGGCCGTTAGGTAGCAAGACTTAATTTAGAATTATTTGGACACAATTACCACTTAGTAGTCACGCATTTTGTTGCATTGGAATAGAAAGTGTTGCAGAAAAGGGTTATGCAAATAAGTTATTAAGTTATTTAAAATGATCCAATATGCTACTTATAAGTATGCTAATAAGCAAAGAGTTAATGGTTAATATGTGTCCCTTGATATAAACGAACTGCTTAGGTGGGAAAGGGGCATTATACCCCTCTACCACCAAACGCTAAATCATTAGAGTTCTCTTGATCAGCTTATTTGTGCCGCCCTCAAGTGGCCAAATAAGTCTTTTGTTGCCGGTTTGATTCCTTTTCATAGCAGTGTGCGGATTCCTGTGGGTTTTCCTCATGTTTTCTACATATCACATTCCGCATAAAAGTCTAAAACATTTCCTGTCTTTTTCATTATTTCAGAGAAGGACATTTTTGCAAGAAAGGAGGAATTTGAAACGAGGATTTCTGAAGGCCATACAGGTATGTTCCCATTATTTTCTCCATCTAGACCACAAAAGGAAGTTAAAATTATACTTATCTTAAAAAACAATGCAGCTCCATCAGCTTTTACTTCCTGTTTCTTGCTGTTCACTAATGTCATGTTGTAGAGCATGCGTTTGATTTTGTGATCTGCCTTTTCAGCTTCACAGCTTCAGCTTCATATGCTCTTTCAACCACCTTTTAAAGTGTATTTCAATATATTCAACAGGTACTATAGCGATAGCTGCCCTGCTGGGTCTAGCGATCTTTGTTCTTCTATGCGTCCTGCTGTACTGTCTCTGTAGAGGAAAGAAGAAGACGGTACAACACCACCGGGTGCCCGTCAACACCGTCCCGGTCAGCTTGGAGGACAGAGAGCGTCTCGTCTACAACAGCACCACCAAGCCCATCTGACCCCTCAGTCCTGACATTTGACACCCCCCCCTGGTGGTGAATGACACAGGTTAACAAAACCAGATTGATGAAAGACTAGACAATAACCGTTGATTTAGTAAGAATTCTGGAGGTGATCCGTTTATATTTTGTCCATATATGGATTTGGTTTGTAAGGGTGATACACATGGAAGGAAGGAACGTCTTAAAGAATAAAATGTGATGTGTTATATTTTAATTTGTAGCTTGTTTTTAATGGAGTGGCATGTTTAAAGGAATTGTTGTATGTCAGTTTGTACTCAGGTTAACATAAAAGGATATTTTCTTCTGTTCTATTTGATTCCATTAACAATCTCATAAATCTTAGCGAACAGCTTTTAAAAATAAAGTCAGTTAAGAAAAGGAGGAAACATCACCTGGTCTATTTTTGAGCCACCGCTTCAATGTAAGAGTTTCAGATTTTTTTCTTAAAAATTAGCTCTGGACTTTGTTATGATAAATGAAATGTAATTGGTGATCCCTTCAGTGTCCTGCACCTCCAGCTTCCCATTGTTACATCGTATTACATATACTTGCGTAATGTTGTACATAAACAAATCATTTTGAGAATCACATTTGACATGAAAAAATGTATTTCTCACTTATGTTTTAGGAATTTTTAGAACAAGCATAATGTATACATTTTAAAATGCTTTATTAATACTTGCAATAAAGTAGCCTTGCTGTTGAATATTCACCATATTGAACTTCAATTGTTTGTACATATGATCTTTCTGTATCTTTAGCAGTAACATGATGTTTATACTAAATAAATGTTTTAACTCAAAATGTGGCTGGTAAATGTTTTTTGTCTTGACTATCTGGCAACCTCCCTAAGATGCAAATTCTCTTTTTTACAGCAACGCATACTGTCCAAGCTCCTCATACGGCGCCATACGATTACAGGTTTTTGTTTTAACTTTAGGGTATACTCCTGGAATTTCAGGTGTGGCTTTTGTAGTACCCTTTTTCAGACTCCCAGTACAAACTAATACTGGTGTGAATAACCAATAAAAAAAGGTCAATATATATTTATCAAATCACCACTTTACAAATTGTTAAAGAATAATGTATTAGTACTACTGGGGCAGTTCATGGGAACAGAATGGATGTTCTATTGTGATCTATTTGCTCAGGTCTTGTGAGTCTATCTACTTTAATTAATCTACATCAAATGTACATTATTTTTGTCCATACAATAAAATTCTGTGTTCAAGGTGCTGCCTTATCAATAATTAACTAAATATAAAAATCAGGTTTGAGTTTTATAACAAGACTAAATGATAAGCCTATATACCTTATATCGATTCCTTATCTCTTAATTAGAAATACAACACTACTTTCTTAAAGTTACCCTAATTTTTCCAAATATGCTTCCTATAAATGCAATTACATTTTCCTCTAGATTTATAATGCAGTGCTACCCACACATTGGACAGAGAAGTTACTATATTTTACCAGAAGATGGCGACATGGTTTAAAAGATGTTCAACTCAGCAGCACATTGCAGCCAAATAAAAGATTAATATGGGATAAACAAACTTTATTTTTCAGATTGTATTTTAAACTTGTGGTCATAGTTTGAATCATTAGACTAGTAAACCTGCAAAAATGCACCAAAGCTGCACTTTGTTCTGGAACAGGCGAATTTTCACGTTGAGTTGACTCTTTAAATAAGGGTCGTTCAGCATATTGTTTTCTTCCGTTTATAAGGGGGCAGAGAGGGGGTAGTGCAAAGCAAAAGTACCCCTCTCTATTTAATCACTATCACATAAATTAGCACTCACCCAATTGATTCACTGAAGCTTGCCTTTGTGAGCCCCCACACCACTGACCTGAGCGCCATAAATGTAATGTGGCAAGGTTACTATTTGTCATGTCTTTTCACAAGCCTGTTTTTTGGGTTGGAATCATTTTCTTCTAGTAGTGGCAGTAAAGATACTTTTATAGAAAAAATACAAACTCTCTCACACTGAAATAAATTACTAAAGTATGCATTCCAGATGTTTAGATGTAGAAACACATCTGACACTCACCCAACAGACACGGGCATGTCAAAAACAGGCGGTCCGTAGTCATATTCACGGACTCTTCGAGTAAGAGATCTTAAACCAGGTGGACTTTCAAATATAGTTTTTTTTTCTTTTCTCAAAAAACAAACATTGATAACAATACATAAAAGTCTTACTTTTTGATTTACTGTAAGTTGCTTGTTCATGCATTTCTCCTGGGAAGTGACAACTTTAAACTAAACAACACAATTCATCCTGTAGCAATAGCAATTATTCCGTGACTAATTGTATTAATTCATTTAAAGGGTGAAGCAGTAACATGTGGCAGTTTAATACATATCTTACCATATCCACTCGTTGGGATGAGCTAGAGCCAGATGAGACTAACATTGTTGTTGTGGTATTAATTTGCGTTTACAACCCAATCCGCGGTGGCTATATTTCCCAGGGCTCCTGAACGCAGCGTCAGTTCTTAGCCGTTCTTCAGAGATGCAGCAGTGTGTGTTTGCTAAGTTAGTTTGATGCAGCGCGAGCGGCTGACCCGTGCTGCTTGGACGTGTCTGAGGGGATTTTAACATGTGGAAGAAAAACAAAACACCGGAGTAACTTTAAGGTTTTTATCAAGAAAGCGCAGGGGAAAGTTTTACTGAGGACAGAAGTCGTCGGGAGGAAAGAAGTTGGATAATTCGGTACGTGAACTGCTTTTGACCACTTTGCCAAGTCTTAGCTGACGTTAACTCAGTGTTAGCTAATATTCCAGTGAGGCTAGTTCACATGTCAAGAGGATTCTTCTTCTGTGGTTTGTCTGTCGGTACTGACAATGTGTTTTTGCGGGATTTAAAAAAAACAGGACATTTTAGAAACTTTTCTGGCTTGTCTTTAAGTTTGTTTTAAATTGATTTTTTCCCCTGCTTAACATTGATCAATTTAAGCTAAACAAAGTTGGTGTGGAAATTACTAACAAACTGCACGAGTTTATTTGTGCTTATGCATTCAGCCTAGAGACCGTTTTGGAGTTATGTAACTAAAACATTCAACAAATTCCTTTTTGATAAACTCCTACGCATTTGTAGTCCATTATTTGCAGACATTGCATACAGATTTAGAGGGTTATTTTGCTTCAGAAAATGTCAAAACGTGCATAATATACTGTAAGCTCTGGAGGGGACCATGAGTTTCGGTCAGATAAGTTGTGTTTGTCTTTGAAAAAAAAATACTCTCAATTGAGTGACCTTTGATCAGCTGCTGGAGACTTCTCTTTTTTTGTGTGCTTTTTAAAGGGGTTGATATTTTTTCCACTTAGGCATTGATGTCATATTTAACTTGTGCGACAAACTAACATCCACACTGCAGTTGAATCATTTGTAATTTCCTCTTTCCGTGCATCCCATTCCCCCCTATGGTGCCCATACTTGGCCCCAGCAATCTTAATTGTCTTTTCTAATGAGCACCCCAGTGAGGTTTCAAATGCAGGCTCTCCATAGGTCAATGACTTTCCTCCCCAGCTGTGAGAGAAGAATGGGACACAATCAATCAGTTACCAGTGAAAAGTTCCATCTTCCACCTCTTTTTGACCTCACTTGACCTTTCAGACAATAACACCTTATCATTATTTCAGATTAATGTTGCCTCTATGCGATGAACAGTGCTCTCTCCCAGGTGGTCCGAACAGGAAACGGCCCCAGTGTATCTTGGATCTCAGAGTTGGCCCATTATTCCTTCTTCCTCGGTATGATGCAGCTGTGATCAAATGACCAGAGCTGCAGAATGTTGGGGTGGTTTCATCTATATCTTATAACTTTAAAAAACCTGCTTGGGAGCTTTTTATACGTCACCTTATTTTGTCCTTTAGTGGGTGAGCACTTATTTGATGCTGCTTAGCAAAAACCTTGATCTTAGGAGACCGTAAAGTTCCGGCTATTGCAAGTTAAAGTTAGGATTACATTGCATGCGTTAAAGCTGGACTTCAAACAAGACTTGACAACTTTGTTTTGGTTTGAAAGTGTGTGCCATAAGTGATTTCGCATTCCAGACACCCCAGGGAGACCGGACACTGCTTTTGTTATTACTGTGTGTGGACAAGTCTGCACGAAGGCACAAGGGAGCTGTTTGCCTGCACATATGGTGTAATGCATCTTTAAATGGGTACACTCCAATTCTATTTGAAGACTTGCCGTCCCACTTTACCCTGCAGTCTCCTAGTCTCCCCTCCTAACACTGCAGGACGTTATGGAGGACTACTTATCCTTTAGCTGTCCACCATTTCTAACTTTAAAGAACTGGAAGTCTTCACTTGCCGTTTGCCAAATAAGATGGCCCTTGCCAACATCACTTGCCAGGTATGCATTCTGCGGTAATAGTTCACTGATGGGGAGGTGAAAATTGCTCTTACTCCTTTTTCAGAACAGCAGGGAATGATTATTCTCCCATTAAAGGCTATTTTGGCCCGGTTGTACATGCACCATATGGGCAAATCTGCTCACAACTTGTTCCCTGTGGGTGTTCATTTGGATGGATCACTTAGAGACCCATCTTAGCAGCATGCTCAAAAATGCAGCCCTCTAAAATAGGAGGTCTCATGTGTTTTGTGTCTGTGGGAAGTCACGCGTTAGGGCAGCGCTTTTGTGGAAGCTGTGGATTTGATTGAGGTGAAGAGAGACCGTGAGGGTTTTATTGTTTGCCCCTGTGAATGAAAAGCTGTTCGTCTCTTAAGGCCTGTGTGTCAGGGTGACAAAGTGCAGGACTAATGTGGGAAAGAGGGCACCAACAGAAAGGCTGTTTGTCAGGGGATATTTCTGCCGGGGTAGACGGGGTTAGAGGGTGAGAGAAAGGTCTTGCAAGATAAACATGGCACCAATTCTGAAATAATAAAGGCTCTCTGTCTCAATGAGCCCGTATGGGACCCTGGACCTTGCCTGCCATGCCAGGTTCGAGTTGTATTTGTTCCTAGCATAAACATCCGTCATGACTGATGGTGACTTAATGAAACCCGCACCACCCTGTCTGTCTGGACACATCCCAGGGGGCTTATGTCATACTTCCAGATTCTCGTGGGCCTAGTTGAGGCAGACGGTGTAACATGATCCAGCAGGTCTCCGACTGGGAGAGAGAAGAGCAGCCGGAATTCTCTGGTGCTATTTTTAGCTTTTCCTCCAAACCATTTGCTCCGCATGAAGAGAAATCAATTTGGGCTGTTAATTGTTGCACAAATGGATGATTAGGCTGTCTTTTTGGATTCAGATGCTGGATACTTTAATTAGTTCTGAGCATTAGTTGGAAAGAAAGCAGCTGGTGTATGGGGGTTTTCGTTGGAGGTTTAAACAGACCAATAATTGGCAGAAATCTTGGCATCTTCTAGTAAAGCTTTCTTTTGGTTTAATAATATATCACATCCTCTCACTGACTTGTCTGGGACCTGTCTATTTCTTCCTGTAGAGACAGAGAAAGTGTCAAAAGAGCAGAAGTCTAGTTTCCCTTTGGCTTCCTCTGTAGACACATTCAGGGGTTTCACTTCTCTCATGACCTTGACAGGCTGTCAATGGTGAAAAATGCTCCAGATAGTCATCACCCCCTGGGGACCCTTTCACTTTAACGTGTCAGGACTACGGTCTTGGTTCAAGGTGCATGTTTTTGACTATGTCTTTCTCTTTATTTGCATGGGTGCTGAATCTTGGCATCTGTCACCCTCAATTATCGGTTTGCTGTGTTCTTAAAGAAAGGAATTCAGGCTTTGAATTCAAGGATTAATGTCAAGCCTGACGATTTAAAGGAACAAGC